TATAATTTTGCGCTGAAGTTGCTAGAGGGCCAGATCATTATACAAATCTGAATCCCTGACTGGGAATAAGTATGTTGCTGATCTGGTTCATCCTATCATGTTGATGGCGTATCCCAATGGAGATGGCTTCTTCCAACAAGACAATGCGCCATGCCACGGTGCTCGTATTGTGCAGGAGTGGTTTCAAGAACATGAGGGAGACTTTACCTTGCTTAGGTGGCCCCCACAATCACCACATCTCAATCCAGTTGAGCATTTGTGGGATGAAGTTCAAAGAGCCATCAGGCAGCTGGTTCCACAACCATCAAATCTCACAGAACTGGACAGTGCTATTCATCAGGCCTGGTGTCAGATTCCTCGCATCACCTTTCAACATCTCGTGGAGTCAATGCCAAGAAGAATCGCCGCAGTATTGAAGGCAAAAGGTGGCCCAACGACGTACTGATGGGGAGGTCATAATAATCTGGCCACTCAGTGTATATACACGCACACACATATATATGAGGGGAATAAGATTGGTTATGTTTAACCAGAACTTTAGCTATTTTAAATATATGCTACTCCCCTGGAATCTATATACAGACGCCATGTTGAAAAAAATGGGCAGTCAATGAAATAGAGAAGAGGATCAGTTCATGTCCATGCTCTGCGATGGCACCGATGGCTTCAGTGGGAGTTGGAGGTGGTCTTCTTGGGCAAATGACTTGCCACAGTTGCCTGGGTTTCTTCTTTTTCTTTGGTGATGCAGATGGTAGTTTAGCTGAATAAATATTAAGAACAATGGGGTGTGTGTTTTTCTTTCCGTACTAAGAATACAGGAATTTTTAATAACAGCTGCTGTTTACATGAACTAAATATTAAGCATGGCCTACCACATTGCGTTGGACATGAAATAAGCAAGATAGAAATTGTTTTTGTTCATTGACAATTTACCATCTGAAAAAGATTATATCGACGGGACAAAAGAATAGATGAATAAATAGCCAGAAACTCTGATCACTTCCTTTTCACATTAAAATGGGAAAAAAATTGGTCTGGCGTGGCTCAGTGGTTGAGCGTTGACCTATGAAACATGGTTCGATTCCTACCCAGGTTGTGGGCTCGCTCCCCAGTAGGGGGCGTGCAGGAGGCAATCGATCAATGATTCTCTCTCATCATTGATATTTCTATTTCTTCCTCTCCCTTCCTTTCTGAAATCAATAAAAATATATTTTTTTAAAAATGGAAAAATTTAGTGAGTCCCTGCTTTCCAAGGAATAGAGTCCTAGGTATAAATTTGTGCCCCATCCTCCTTTTCAACTCTTGTCTTCCATTTTCCCACCAGGGTAGGGGTCTACACACTGGGCTCTTTGATGCGCACACCCAGTCTGTGCTTCCCCACCACCTCCAGGCGAGGGGCCTGCCATCTCTCCAGGGTATTTCTCTCGGTGCCTGACCCAGTGAGCTAGGCCGACTTTTGTAGTTGCTGAATAAACATTTGCTGAAGGGACGCTGCCTGAGGACAGGGCAGTCCTAATTGGGGCAGAATGAGAATCTGCAGAGCCCAGAATGTGAAGAGAAGGCGTGTCCTGGGCCCTGCCTGCCAAGTGCCTGCTTTTTATTTCTTTATTTTGCATATTGTATTATTTTCATTCTATATTCATAAATGCATATCACTGTAGGTTTACATTAATATAAACTCATCATATTTAAGTACATTATATAAATGCGTGTTTCAACTCGGTTTTATTTTTTTTTTAATCTTTATTGTTGAGAGTATTACATGTTCCAGCTGCTCCCGTCCTCCAACCTCTTCCAGGGCCTGCTTTCCATAAAGCCGTTGCCCTCTAAGCACTCCTGCTCCTCCACACTGTGCTTCCGTTGCCATAGCGACCAGCAGTGTTAATGTATATTATGGCCCGAGGATGTGCTTATTCAGCCTCTCGTGGCAGGCTTCACAGAACTTCGGGTTGGGTTTTACCAGAACTTAACAGGGTGCTGTCACCACACATATCCAAAACACACAGCAAACAAGTCAGCACAGCACGAGTCGAGGCCAGAGCCAGACCCCCCATAAATTAGTTAATTCCCCTCCCCCCATCCACTGTAGAAATACCGTGTTCAGGGGTGTATAAGCATTCACGTTTCATTCATTTTTTTCCTCGTAGGGAACCATTCATCTGTCCCTCCCACATCTCCCATCCTCTCAATGCTTAGCTGCCTTGAGTTGTTTCCTGTGTTATCTTATATCAGATTTACTAGCATCAGGACTCCCTTCTATCAGCAAGCCTAGGAAGTCTGTGCTAGTGCTAGAAATCATTATTTCCAACCATTTGGTTCATATAACAAGAGTTCCACGGGAACAAATACAACCTGATTAAACAAGTTTGTCAATAAGTTTTCATGGCCATGAGCATTATAAAAAAAAACTAGGGGCCCAGTGCACAAATTCGTGCATCTTGAAAGGAACTGCGGGCTGCGAGGCTGTGGTGGGCACATCGGCAGGTCTCGGCCCATCCTCCACACCCCTGCCCGCTGCGGCCCCCAGTCCCCTGTCTGCTGGCAGCCCCGCTCCCGCTGCTGCTCCCACATGCTGATGGCACCAGCCCCACTCGCACCCACTGATAGTGCAGAGCGATTGGGGCTGGCACCAGCAGCAGGTGCAAGCGGGGCCGGCGCCATCAGCGGGTGTGAGCGGTGGCTGCTGCCCTGATCACCCCTGAGGAGCAGGGGGAGGTGGAGAAGCCCTCAGGGGTGATCGGGGCCAGCAGCCGCCGCTTGCACCCACTGATGGTGCTGAGCAATTGGGACCGGTGCTGGGCACTGGCAGCAGGTACAAGCACCGGCAGTAGGTGGGTGTGACCGTGGCGTGCGGGAGCAAAGAATTTTCAGTAACCACCAGAGGCTCGCCCCGATGACAGTGACCGGTGCCCCACCTTGGTCTGGTGCCCCCACTCACCTGCTCCACCATCCTGCCACGGCTGACACCCACCATGTTCCCTGTGCGCCCCCTGGTGGTCAGCACACATCATTGCGACTGGTTGTTCGGTTCTACCGTTTGGTCTATTTGCATATTAGGGCTTTATATATATAGATAAATCAGAAACTCTTCACCGTAATTGTGAGTACAAGTCCCTAAAATTCACAGGTGATCTTGAATATTCTTTTTAACCACTAATTTCAATTTCTGCCTTTCTTTTAACCAACACTTTTTGAAAACCAGATTCATGTAAGAGCAATTTTAATTCAATCTCATCTGACCACTTCATAGAATGAGTGAGAGGCACTAACCAGCTGTGAAAAGGCTTATAAGAGAACAATGAAAGAGAAGAAAGGCTTTTGAATGCTTCTCAAACTGGATAATCAGGTCAGGAACAGATGAGAGCTCAAAAAAATTTAACTGTTTTTTTTTTAACCTTTAGTAATTCTAAGTTTAGTAAAGTAATTTTTAAAAGTTTAGAAAAAAGAAATTATTGTATTACACGGGTCATGGCACCTACCCAAGTTGCTGGTCAATCCCCAGTGGGTCCCTGGTTGTGGCACGTGCGGGAGGCAACGGATCCATGTTTCACTCTCACATCAATATTTCTCTCTCTCTCTCCCTCTCCCTTCCTCTTCCTCTGAAATCAAGAAAAAGAAAAAGCATGTCCTCAGGTGAGGATTAAAAAATAAAAATAAATAATGAAAGTTTGGCAGGGTGGGGACTGGGCTGGAGTGGGAGAGGAAGAACTGTTTGCTGGGGATGGTGGGAGGCTGACATTCTGGAGCCACTGTAAAGAGACAGAGTCCAGAAAGGAGCTGCCTAGGGCTGGGGGTGGAGCGGCGAGGTTGGGATGACAGCTAAGGGGTGTGGAATTTTCATTTTCGAGGGAATGAAAATATTCGAAAATCAGTTGGCGTGATGGATACACAACTCCGAAAGTACTAAAAGCCATTGAGTTGTAGCTTTAAATGGTTGAATTGTATGGTATGTGAATTCTATCTTCATAAAATTGTTAAAAGAGAGACAGAGGCAGTAACGTTGGGTTGGAGAAGTTACTCAGTCTCATCTAACTCATTCTATTCTGACTCATTCCACTCCAATTTTGAAACCATGTTTTCCCTTTCATAAGCGTATAAATCCTACCTGCTCTCGGGTAGATTCAAGCCAAGACCAGTGCAAAGGTACTTGAGTTTACGAGGTTACTTCTGGGAACAAGCAGGGGCTTGAGTAGCAAGCACCTGTGCTTTGACCCAATTTCTGTTTATCTTGCAATAAGTTTGAGAAAATAAAGGTCTTGTTGCAGGAATAAATGTGAAGTTCATAAAGAAAATTCACACAGTGATGTAAATAATCTATAATAATAAAAGCGTAATATGCTAATTAGACCAGACGACCTTCCGGACGAAGCCGGGGCTGCGAGGGAAGCCAGGGTCCCAGGTGCCATAGGGAAGCCGGGGCCGGCAGCCGGGGAAAGGAAGGCCTACTCTTGCACGAATTTCGTGCATCGGGCCTCTAGTAAAAAATAATGCCATAAACTTTCAAAGACGAGGGGAAAAAAATAAAGAAGGGAAGAAACACACCAGGTGTGGATCCCAGCTCTGCAACTTCCTAGCTGCATATTAAGTAAAACACTAACCCTTCTGGGCTTTGTTTTTCTCCTCTGTAAGACGGAGGCTTCCTGATATGCAAGGTTGTTCTGAAGACTAGAGGTAATGTATACAAATGCCTGGCACATAGAGGACCCTGAATTAACCCTAGTAATTATTATCATAAAGGGAATGTTATTTTATCTGTCCTGGGAATGGCTGCAGCAGTCAGGGTCGGCGAGGTTATGCTGAGGTAACAAAGAATACTACAGTCTCAGTGGCTTAAAAAAGTGCCAACCCCAATATTTATTTTTTACTCCATTTTCCTACTCCTCATAGGTCGGCTTGGGGCCCCACTTGTGCCTTCCTTATTCTAGGACTCATTTAGAGAGCTGGGGTGGTCCGGAATACTGCCGATCACAGGGCAGAGGGAATAAAGGGTGTGGTAAATCACACACAGATTCTTAAAATGTGTGCCTGAAATTGACATGTTACACTGCTCCCATGCTCCGGCTGAAGCTAGTTACACGGCCATGTCTGTCTTCAGGGGAGCGGGAATTACATTTTCTAACATGTGCACAGAAGATGATAAAAGAGATTATTTGTCAACAGCCCTAGTGATTGCTACGTAACTCCTGAGGGAAATATTTTTAATTTTAAAACAAGACATCTGTGGCCCAGGCGAATAAGTACTTGCCTCCTAAATGGGTAGGAAATGGCAAAATAAGAGATTCAAACCCAAGTCTGTGTTGTCTCCTGATCATTCCAGTGAGACTTGAAAACTGAAACTGTTCTACCCACAAAGCTATGTGGATATGTCTCCCTCTCCACATTTGTAGAAAAAAAAATTGCATATTTTCTTTGGGAACAAACTGGTACTGCCTTCTCAGAAACCAATTTAGAATAAAAAACATTAAGAATCATAAACTGTTCACACACCCTTTGACCCAAGAAATCTAGTTCTGGGAATTTATCCGAAGGGAATCATCCCAAGAAGATGAAAAACTTACACTCAGGAAAGGATCTATTGTGACACTGTTTATGATAGTGTAGAACCAGAAAGAATCTACATTTTTGACAAAAGGAAAAGTTAAAGAATGTATTGATTATATACTCAATGAGTTATTATAGTTATCCTAAATAGTAAAAGACTAATGTACAAATTGTCCCCTCGACCAGGAGTTCGACCAGGAGTTTGACCAGGGGGCGGGGCCAGCTGGCAAACTGCCCACGGCCCCTACCCCCGGTCAGCCCGGCCAGCCTGGCCCAATTGGCCTTGATCAGGGAGGGCCGGCTGGACACCAGGAGTTTGACCAGGGGGCGGGGCCAGCTGGCAAACCGCACACGGCCCCTACCCCCGGCCAGCTTGGCCCAATTGGCCCCTGCACAAATTTGTGCACTGGGCTTCTAGTCTATATATAAAAGAGTAATATGCTAAGTGTCCCTCCTACCATCTGACCAGACGCTATGACATGCACTGACCACCAGGGGGCAGACACTCAAAACAGGAGTTGTAGAGCTGCAGTGACTTGGCAGCGGTGGTTCTCGGGTGACGCACCCCAAAACCAGAGAGGAGGGAGCCCGATTCTTCACGGGGCCACGTGATTTCACCTTTAGCCATGGGTTATGTTGTTGCTGGGGCACTGTTGGTCCCGAAGCTGGTTTACTGCACACTTGCGTTTGCGTTCCACACCCTGTATGACAGCAAAATTGCAGATTGCCCTCTCGCACTCTGGGACCCCTCGGGGGATGTTGGAGAGCCAGTTTTGGCCCGATCCCCGCAGGCCAGGCCGAGGGACCCCACCTGCTGGAGGGACCCCGCTCACTCCGCAGACGCCGGGGAGGGACCGTGGGAGGTTGGCTCCAGGGCATGTCCAGCCCGTCTTGCCCAGTCCCGCCCCGCTGGTCACCTTCTAATTAATTTCCTTTCATTGTGCACGAACCGGATCATGGGAGGTTGGCTCCAGGGCATGTCCAGCCCGTCTTGTCCAATCCCACCCCGCTGGCCACCTTCTAATTAATTTCCTTTCATTGTGCACGAACCCATGCACCGGGTCACTAGTAACTTTATAATTATGAAGACTATGTAGTAACATGAAAACAACCTTTTGCTATAATGTTAAGTGAAAAGCACAATGCAATTGTTCTCACTATAAAGCAGCTGTGTGATCAATTTGTGTGACGAAGACTAACACACCCCATATTTGTTCTTCCCTTTTTCCTTTTAGTGATCGAGCCCAAGCCCAGGTTAAGCGGCAGGGACAGCGAGCACGGACCACACTTCCCAGCCTTCCTGAATCCAGGTATTGTCACGTGACCAGGTTCATATATCTTAAATTTAAGTGAAAGATATATGAACAGCTAACACTTGAGCACTTAGTATTTCCACACACTATTCTAAGTGTATTTACATGTATTACCTGTGTTCACTCATTTACTCCTCTCAAGTCCTATTAGCTACACTGCCTTAATCATGAATCATCAAATCTAACAAAACATATAATCAAGACTTCAAATAATGAATTTGCTCATTGGTCTTCCTTAATGCTTATGTCAGCCTTTTTAGCCGTGTAGATAAAATAACTAGTTGACAGATTGATTTTGTTTGAAATGAATTACATGGCAGTTACTAAAACAGATTGTAAAGACTGCTGTTCACAGAGCAATTGTTCATTCTTCTCTCAATCAGTGCAACTCCCATTCTAAGCTGGACATACTGCCACCTAGCCACAAGACCACAGCACGGAACCACATATGCAGCTACATGGGCTGTGACAAAGTTCCTCACAGTGAGACCTAAATGGGAATAGGATGGTGACTTCTGGGCCGTCTCCCTAGAGAAGAAGGGCTCACCCTTCTCCTGCTCCTCCATCCTGCTCTCTGGGGAGTGGGTGTGCTGGCTGGCGTTCCCTGAGCTGAGACTCACGCCTTAGCAGTGTAAGACCAGCAGCTGAAAGCTGTGGCATCGTCCGTGAGAAGCCCCTGTTAGCCTCGGGCTAGCTCTCTCCGGACTTCTTTTCGCAGGAAAGAGTAATGACCTGTTTAAACTACTATCGTGGGGGTCTCTGTTAAGTTACTAGTAACTGAACTTAATCCAAACTCATATGTAAATCTAAGCTCACGTACTTCCCATTCAGACGTGTGGGACATCAAAATGTCACTTAAAGACTTTAATTTAACTACTTCTCTTGTAAATGTCATAAGGAAGTAACTGAAGAAGACTTTACTCCAATGGCTATCGATTCTTATAATGGGTTTGTAGGCATCTGTTTAAGGCAGTGTTTCCCAGCCTTTCTTATGACGGAGCACAAGAAAAACAATCGTTGTACAGTACCCTGCACACCGTGGCCCTTGGCCAGAGGCTGCGGATCCGGGCTGTTTGCCTGTTCCGAGAAATGGGGGGCTCAATGCCTCAGTCCCCCACCCCTAACCTGTTCACCGCAGCCCATCTCTAAGGGCATTCCGCAACTGGTGGACTGCTTCCGGTTACTAGCAGGTAAAATTCGAATCTGGAACCCATTCAATAATCATTACGGCTTGAGAAAAACCAAGTGAGCAAACTGTGCCTTGTACTTCATTGTTGAAAAATGCACTCATTGAATGGTTAGTCAGATTACACATTTCTTATTTCGCATAGAGTATTTTTTAGATGACTTCATTATTCACATGTACACCGAGTATGGTTTTTGTACCCAAGGTGTAATGAAAGGGTCTTGTGAATCAGGGACAGAGAGGATTTCAAACAATGAGATGATACCGCTGAAAACTAGTGCCTGGCTTTATCTGTAAGAGGGAAAAGGGAACTTTTATTGATCATTTTCAATCTACCAGAAGCTTCCAAAATGTGTTTTTTCATGACCTCTTTTATTTTAAAGATTAGGGACCTACAAGCAGCAGGACTAACATTCAAAGGCCTTCCTACATGTCTACATGCCTGGATTTATTCCTTCGAATTCATCTACAAAACCCAGTGGTTTCATAGTGCGTGTGCCATCGACTCCACTCCTGCTCCCACAGAGGCAACCACTGTCGAGCTTTACCCTTTAGCTTTCGGGTGGTTCCCCCATATCTCAGAAATAACATGCCTATGTTGTCATTTTCCTTTCTAGAGTTGTTCGCATTTCATTTAAGTTTAGAGGCCAAACTATATCTCTTCAAAGCCAGAAAGAGAAAGAGCAGCCCCGTTCTCTGCACAGCCTAGGAGCGCGAGCTCCTTGCCATTCCCCAGAGCAGCATGCTCGACTGGGCCAACCAATCCTTCTGGTCTTTATCGCCACACTTCCACCTGCTATGTCGTGCTTTTTCAAGGTTCTACATTTTATCTATGGAAGGGAGATACGGATTTAGTCTCTCATATGCTCCTCTTATTCTCCCCATATAGTTCTATCACGTTTTTCTCTGATCACTATTCAGTGTTTGCATAATTAAGTAAATATCATTTAAGGCTGAGGCTTGTAATGTACTGTGATTACATTGAGTTTCTTGGCACATAATTGCTTTCCCTGGCATTGATAATTTTCTTATTTTATTTGTATGCTCACTTTGCTATTGACCTGTCAAAAATCAATTACCCATTCTTTTCCAGAAATGTAAATCTCTCAGTACACCCTGCCATGCCCAAGGTCACACAGCCAGGGAGAGGGATGTATTAGTCTGCTAGGGCTGCCATAGCAAAATACCCCGACTGGGCGACTTAAACAACAGACACTTATTTTCTTTTCTCACAATTCTGCGTGCTGGACGTCCAGGACCAGGCTGCCAGCCATTTGTTTTCTAGTGGGGCCTCTCTCCTCGGCTTGCAGATGGCCACCTTCTGGCTGTGACCTCACGTGGCCTTTTCTCTGTGGACGCACGCCGCTGGTGTTTCTTCCTTTTCTTAAAAGGACACCCATCCCAGCGGATCACTGCTCTACCCTGCGGGCCTCATGTTAACTTCGTCACCTCTTTAAAGGCCTCAGTCCCAAATCAAGGCTAAAGGGGATAAAAGCCTGGCTGTCTTGGCCTGACGTGGGACAATTCTGAAGAGCCATCCAGCTCCAGTGTTCCCTGTGGACTTGGCCGAAAAGGTCCCCGGGCCTTGAGTCACAGTCCCACTTCTTCCTTCTACGGGTGCTGGTCCCAAGGGCATGCCCCGTAAACATTCTGAGCTCAACTCTGTCTCAGGGTCAGCAATATCTTTGGAATGCTTCACACTTGAAGTGTTGAGAAGGTTCCGGAATTGCTCTCTAGTGCTGCAATGTTGACATGGCAGCATCAAGGTGAGGGTGCTGGGGGAAGAAGACCTTTCTGGTGGCCTTAAAGCACACACACCAGCAGCAGAGGCTGGCCTCCCCACCTCGCCCCGGGCCTGCCCACAGCGGGAGCCTGGCAGGGCGTTGCTGAGCTGCCCTTATCCCTGAGTGGGCTCTGGAGTTGCTCCCTCGTAATTCATAGCCAGTGGCTCTCGGCAGGCAGCCTGCTGGTTCCAGACGCTGCCACTCACATCACCGACCAGTGAGCCATGGTCTCGGTGCCCACAGTCACGCCGACGTGTGAGTAAAACATTTCCATTTGGACAAAAGAGAAGGGCATCTGTTTCCCTGAAAAAAGTTACAACGCTCAGAGAAGTGCACATACACGTTGGTACAGTTTTCGAAAATAGAAAATCCACTGGCTGTGTATGGGGGAGTTTTGAAAACATAATCTAATAATAAAAGATCGGCTTATCAGCTGCTCATTTGTGGTTAGAGCTCGTTAATGAGACACACACCCCCCACAATGGTCATTGGAACAATGATTTCTTCCCTCCCTGAGCCACTATTGTTCTTCGGCTGCGAGCAGTGGGAGTGTGAATCTGTCTGTCTGTGTGAAGGAGGGCAGATGAGTGAGTGGGTTTGTGGGAGGACAAAGCGGAGAGTGGAGAGTGGGCGCCAGGTCACGGAGTGTGCGCGTGGGAGGAGGCTGGGCCGTGAGTCAGCCGGAGTGGGAGGCAGGTATGTGTGGGTGACGCGTGGGCCGGAGGAGAAAACACTACAGAGCCATTTTGCAAATGTGAAGGTTTTAAGAAGATATCCATAGAACCATACAAAAGAGCATCAGAAAATAATGCATTAGCGACTCTAATTTTAAAAAGCAAAGGTTTCCGATAATGCTATCTTACAGAGAGCTGTTTTGAACTTTTAAAACTATGCTTTTTAAGAATTAATTTTCAATAATAATTAAAAAAAAGAAAGAATGACTTTTGTGTCATGGAGGCTGGTAATTGGTGGTGACCCTGCCACTGTCGCTGATGAAGACAGCGTGTGTGTAGTTTGAAGGATGGTCTCTGAGTCGCCTCCATGAACAAGATGGGCCACGGCCGGCAGGGAGCTGAGCTGAGGACTCCTGGCTGAGGCGCTAACGTCCCAGGGAGAACGGGCCCTCTCCTTTCCCTGCCGCCAAAGGCACTCGTGTTCTTCCTTTTGTAACTATAAGTGCGATTTTAAAAAACTGAACCTGACGCTGAGACTCACTTAACATCAGGGTAAAATGGGGCCCCAGATCATCTTGATGAACCACCACGAACTGCGACGCAGAGGCAAGGAGGGAGGAGCCCACGGATGGATGGATGGGTGAACCCGCCATCGGCCCAGGGACCTCCCTGCACTCAGTGGTTCTCCCCGCTGACCCTCCAGGTGTGTGTGGGAGGTGCAACCACGGTGACACAATGCTGCCAGCTCAGCTTCCTGGGCTGAGTTCTGGGTGGGAGCAACACAAATACCAGTTTCCCTCCTCCCGGCTAGCGTTACGCACTGAAATACTGTATTTGTGTGGGCACACTATTATTAGTCCAGTATTTTCGAAAATCAGAAATCTGAATCACTCCGGTGAAAGGCATGCAGAGAACGCGTACACCGCATAAGAATTTCCCATGGGACAGGGTGGGACGTTAAGAAGCATTTTAACGTGATTGACAGGAAGGGGAGCCTGCCCCCCCTTTGCTCTGGGTGGGGATTCTCTCTGCTTCCGTCATCCTCTGGCAGCCGCCCCTTCTCTCCTCCACAATTCATTTCAAGCAGCACCTTCGCCAGTCACCCAAGACGAGGGAGCAGGGAATCCCTGTCTTGAGCCTCCACCCTCCCGGAGAGAATGCCCCTGAGGGCAAACTGGACGCATAATGAATGTGTTGAAGCCTGAACCGCAGGACCTCAAAATGTGCCTCTTTTTGGAGGCAGGGCCTTTAAAGGAGCAATGAAGTGAAAATGAGGTCTATGGGTGTGCCTTCGTTCAGCCGGATTGGTGTTACAAGAAGAGATCAGGGCGGACGCACACAGGGGGAGACCATGTGTGGACGCGGAGGAAGTGGGCCGCCTGCCAGCCCAGGAGAGGCCTCCGAGGAAACCAGACTCTACAACGGTGGTTCTCAACCTTCCTAACGCCGCGACCCTTTAGTACATTTCCTCATGTTGTGGTGACCCCCAATTTCATTGTGACAAATTGAACATAATTAAAGCATAGTGATTAATCACAAAACAATATGTAATTATATATGTGTTTTCCGATGGTCTTAGGCGACCCCTGTGAAAGGGTCGTTTGACCCCCAAAGGGGTCTCGACCCACAGGTTGAGAACCGCTGCTCTACAGCCTTCAGGACATAAACTCCTGCGTAAGCCCCCCCCCCCCCCCCCACCCGGTCAGCAGCCCTAGCAAATGAGGACTCACCGGCTTCAGGGTCCTCCCTGGCTGTCCTCTCCTGGGCCTTATTCCACTCACTCGGCAACCTTTCATTCCCATGCTTTGGCTTCAATTAGGACCCAGATTTTGCCCACGTCTCCTCCCTAAGCGCCAACTCGCCCACCCACGTACCTATGAGATGTCTTGCATGTACTTTAACATCACTTCCATGCAGAATTCATTATTTTTCTTTCTCAGCTCGTATTCTTGTTTTCCTATTTTTAGGAAATAGAATGGATAATCACTCACGCCAGATGCCCCAAAACCACTTTCACGGGCAGTTGGAAACCACTGCCTTGCTTCAAACCCTAATCATCCTGACCTGTCTGCTGTCTCTCTCCCACCACCCTTCCTCCATGCTGCCACCAAAGCAATATTTTAAAAATGTAAGTCTTTATTGATTTCAGAGAGGAAGGGAGAGGGAGAGAGAGAGAGAGAGAGAAACATCAATGATGAGAGAGAATCATTGATCGGCTGCCTCCTGCACACCCCCTACTGGGGATAGAGCCCACAACCGGGGCACATACCCTGATTGGGAATCGAACCCTGACCTCCTGGGTCATAGGTTGGTGCTCAACCACTGAGCCACTCCGGCTGGGCCAAAATAATTTTTAAAAAAAATTTTAAATGCAGCCCTAGCTGGTTTGACTCAGTGGATAGAGCGGTGGCCTGTGGACTGGAGGGTCCTGGGTTTGAATTTGATCAAGGGCACTTGCCCAGGTTTCGGTTCAATCTCCAGTGTGGGGCATGCAGGAGGCAGCCGATCAATGAGTTTCACTCATCATTGATGTTTCTATCTCTCCCTCTCCCTTCCTCTCTGAAATCAATAAAAATATATATTTTTAAAATTTTCTTTTAAAAAAAAGTTTTAAGTGCAATCCCTCAGGGGTTGTGCAACCAATTTAGTGGATTGCACTTTCCCAGATGAACTAGACCAGCGTGGGAAATAAAGGCTTCAGTCTCCATTGGCATCGATGGCTGAAGCCAGGAAGTCAAGAGAAGGTGGAGACTCAGAAGGGCAGCTCGGGAGGACTTGGGACAGAGCAGCGAGAGCAAAGACGTGTGTGTCATCAGAGACCAAGGCTGAGACACCCACGCCCACAGTCCAGTTCCTACGTCTGGATGTGGAAGTTGGACGGCGAAGGAGGCGGAAAGGAAAAGTGTGGATTCATCTGGAACCTGGTGTTGGTGGAGGGCTCTGCCGACGCCCTGGGCCCCCAGCAAGATGAACACGTGGGTCCTAGAGCACATTGAGCCTGAGACATCGCTGGAGGCAGAAATGACAAAACGGAGGCTGTCCTTCTTCGGGCACATGGAATAGCTTACTGTGGGTGTTGCTGTAAGAACGTCTTACTAACTCATTAGGGTATACATTTATTTTGCATTGTTTTCTAAACTGTTTACGTTACAATAGCTATGATTTAAAGTAACAAAAAATATTTCACATAAATGCTATCACAGCAAAGGGAGAATGTCAGCAAGGTTCTCTCATGCGTATTATTCAAGATTGATGAAGTACTTAAAGGAGCATTTCCGGATCAGTAGACGGAGCGAAGAGAAAGAGGAAAACAGGAAAAGGAGGTGAAGAACCGGGTGGGATGGGAGGCAGGAAGAGGAACCTCTTAACCCTAAAATAAATCCAACAAATACTATGTGAGCCGTTTAGGTGAGCCGTTTTTTAAAATATAAAGTAGGCTTAGATTTTACATAGAGGAATAAATCTCTATAAAGCCCCAGTCATTGGGAGGGTCTGGCCTTTGAAACTCAGAACCTGAACATTTCCTTGACCTATTCTAGCCATACTTTCATTATTGCTGAGACAAGTTCAGAGCCTTAAATGTTTAGATGGATTACTTTAAACATCATTGTTAGGCGATGATGTTTAAATGAAAACAGAAACAGAAAAAAAAAGGCGGGGGAGGGGGGCAGACCAGCCTATTTGAACCTGCATTTCCAGGGACACACCCGCATGTGGTCAGGGCAGACAGATTCTAACCTGCAAAATGCATGCCTGACAGGGGAGCCGCCTTCCTCCCGCTCCTGCTTGCTCCGGGCTCAATGGCTTCCCTTGCCCATCATTCCAAGGGGCAAGTGACCTAGTTCACGCTCACAGGAGACCGTCCCGATTAGTCACTGCTGTCCTGCTCCGCCCTCCTTTTCCTCTAGGATTCCCATCATCCCCGCCTTTCCCGTTGTACGGCCTCCTCCTTTGACGTTTCTTCCTGTTCATTATTAGAATAGAACATATGCTATTTAGGGAACTGAATCCTTTAGAATAAAGGTGCATTATAAATCTACTAAACAAGATCTATAGAAGGCAGAACACATATTTGATATAGAAGCAGCTCCCATTTTGAGTCTATGTGTAAATTTCGAAAAAGAAAACACACTTAACAAAGTTTAGAATAACAAATAAAACTCATTTTTCACCCTAACCGGTTTGGCTCAGTGGATGGAGTGTCGGCCTGTGGACTGAAAGGTCCCAGGTTCTATTCCGGTCAAGGGCATGTACCTCGGTTGCAGGCACATCCCCAGTAGGAGGTGTGCAGGAGGCAGCTGGTCGATGTTTCTCTCTCATCGATGTTTCTAACTCTCCATCCCTCTCCCGTCCTCTCTGTAAAAATTCAATAAAATACATTTAAAAAACAACAACTCATTTTTCAAGGCAGCATAAAACTTCAGATTACCATTTTCAGACCTATGACGGCTCTGTGAGCGGTCCAGCATTTCACAGCGCCCTGGCCAGTGTGGCTCAGTGAGCATTGCCCCAAGCAGAGAGCTTGCTGGTTTGATTTCTGGTCAGGGCACCTGCCTGGGTTGTGGGCTCAATCCCCAGTAGGGGACGTGCAGGAGGCAGCCAATCCATGTTTCTCTCCCTCTCCTTTTCTCTCTCTAAAATCAATTTATATATACATATATATACACACACACACATATACCGATAGATGATAGATAGATAGATAATATATATACGTCACTTAGTGTTTTCTTCCTGTCTATTTCTATTCCA